ATTAGTAGATATATATATATATATATATATATATATATATATACAATTGTTGTGAATGAATCAAACATGATAATAAATTATAATACTTTAATTATTCTTACTATATGATGGTGTTAATAAAATAATAAAATGACGATTTAACATAACTCTATGTTATTTTATATTTATACTAATAACCGTGTTATATGATAGGTTAAATTTTCAATATATTTAAATATTTATAATATCCTAAATTTTTAGTTAAGTGTAAATTTATCAGTTCAAATATTTAAAAACATAAAATTTTATTATATCATTTGAACTTAAATTATCTTGTGTAAAACAATATGTGACATAACTACATGTATGTGTTGAAATATATCCCGGACCAGACTAACAGAATGTGATTATTATAATCTCATAAAAGATTTTAAAATCTTCAAAAATTCTAAGAATAGTAATAGATGGTCATGCTATCTCATTGTAGACGTAGTTTGTAGGAATGTTTAAACGCAACGGTTGCGGTTGCGGGTGCGTGAGTTTGCAGAAGCGGGCGGTTGCGGTTTCAAGCGTTATTAAGCGTTTTAAACGACTAGTTTAGCTTTTAAAAATGGGTGCATTTGCAGGAGTTTGATGACTGGTTAACCAGCGGCTACAATGGCGATTACATTAAAAATTAGAAAATTAAATATTAATATAATTATAAAAATGTATAAATATATCAATACTATATTATTATGATAAAATATATTAAAGAAATGAATATGATTAATAACTAAAAACCATAAATAAATGACTGAATAATTATATAAAACAAATATTCTTTTAGCAATATAATTACCAAATAATTATTACTAAATATATATACTAAATAATTATATATTAAATATATATACACACCATAAATTATTACTAAATATATATACTAAATGGAAATATAACCCACGTCCATATTAGAGTGCACTCAAATATCAAATTGGATTAAATGGAAATAAGCTATAAACGTGGAGTTGAATTCATTAAAGAAGAGGAATGTATTTGGTCCAATAATTCAGACACCTCTTGATATTAAACCAGTTGGACATAAATAGGTATTTGTGAGGAAAAGAAATGAACATGGAGATATCGTGAGATATAAAGCACGGCTTGTTGCACAAGGATTCTCACAAAGACCATGAATAGATTATGAGGAGATATACTCCCCTGTGGTGGATGCTAAGACATTTAAATTTTTGATAAGTCTGGCTATATATATAAAAGAGAAAGACTTGATTTGCGGCTAATGGATGTAATGCCTGCATATTTATATAAGTCCACTAGATAATATATGAGATTATCAGAGGGTATTGAGCTCAAAGATTAGAAAGGTTCTCGAGAACATCACTGCATAAGGCTGGACAAATCCTTTCATGGACTTTGACTAAATGGGCGTATGTAAGGTTATAAATGATCCCATCAGTCAATGTATTTTCATAACGAGGTTTGCAAACAAAGGATTTGTAATCTTAGAAGTGTATATGAATGATTTAAACCTTTGGGTAATCGACCAAACAGTTGAATATATCTAAAGAAAGAATCTGAAATGAAAGACCTAGGCAAAAATAATTAAGTTCTGTTTGGGATTAAAACTTGAGTACGTGAATAACGGAATCCTTGTGCATCAAATGACATATACTGAAAGAGTACTCAAGGAGATTTAATAAGGACCAGGCCCGCCCATTGACCAGGCCCGCCCATTGACCAGGCCCAATGGTGGTGAGAAGCCTCAGATTGGATAGTGATCCATTCAGTCCATAAATGCCATACCTCAGTGCCATAAGAGCTTTAATGTATCTGGCGAGCCACACTAGGCCAAATATATATTTTTCCGTGAATTTATTATCAAGATTTAGCTCATGTCCGACCCAAAGGCACTGGAACGGGATTAAACATATTCTTCGTTACCTAGAAGGAACGAAAGATTTGGGTCTAATTTATACTAACCAACCCAAAGAGGGATTAGTTGGTTTTGCTGATGCAGGTTATCTCTCGGATCCACAAAATGATCGATCACAAACTGGTTATGTTTTCACACACGATGGTACGGCAATATCTTGGCGATCTCAAAAGCAAACAATTGTAGCCACATCGTCCAACCATGCTGATATTTTGGCGATGCATGAGGCCAGCTGTGAATGTGTTTGGTTGAGATCCATGACTCAAGATATTAGGATCGATTGTGGGATGACCGAAGGGAAGGCAGCACCAACAATAATGTATGAAGATAATACTGCCTGCATAGCTCAGCTTAGAGATGGATATATCAAAGGATATAGGACAAAGCATATTTTGCGAAAGTTCTTCTTTACTCATGAATTACATAAATCCGGAGAGGTCCAAGTGGAACAAGTTCAATCATGTGATAATTCGGCAGATCTATTCACCAAGTCGCTTCCAACCTCTACGTTCAAGAAACTAACACATCAAATTGGAATGCGCCGGTTGAAAGATCTTCAGTGAGCTTCAAATCAGGGGGAGTAATACGTGTTGTACTCTTTTTCCTTCTCGACGGTTTTATCCCAATGGGTTTTCCTGGTAAGGTTTTAATGAGGCAACATCCCAAAGCGTATTACTAGCTCACAACGGTAATGACATCCAAGGGGGAGTGTTATAAATCATATGATGGATTGTCATAACAAGTTCAGTCCGGCCCGGCCCATATCAAGCCCGGTCCGTCCAATGTTGAGGAGGCTTAATCTTTTCCTTATTATATTAGGGTTTACTTATCTCCCCTTGTATCAATCCTTATATAAAGGAGTCTAAGCTAATGAATAAAGCATCTCGAATTCCCGTCTTCTCTCTCTAGTTTACAACAAAATGATATTTTACATAATAATTTTTAAAGATTGTTACTAATTTCGACGATTATATTTATGGAGGAGCATATACAGCACAATGAAAACTATTTTTGCCTACTATTAGGAAACTTAGTTATTAAATAGACTAAATTAAGGACTGTAATTACTATGATTGATTCAATTTTTTTATTGTGTGAGTATGTTATTAGAAATATAGTTATAATGTTTTCCTAAAATATGGTTAGTAGTTATTGGTTAGCTAATTATTTGGGAACTTTGATTTCGTTTATATCCTCAAATTATGTATTCGATAACTATTTTATTTTCAATAAGAGACAACAAATCTTGTAAATCTGTAATTAATATCTTCCCTTAATTATAGCAATTAAATTTGGACATTCTACACTAAAGAAGAAAAGATCCATCATTTGGAATTGGGTCAGAAATTGAAATCATAAACCGACCCGATAATTAAAGTTACATTAGTAATCTTAATGAGCATTTATAAAATAATTAGTAGTAATAGTAATTAGTGGAAATCGATTTTTTTGAAAGGGTGGCCAAAAAGTTGTACTTCAAAAATGTTATAATATATATAACGATTCATATATTGACAAGGTGTGTACAGATGATATACATATATATACTTGTACATAGGAGGACAGTTTAGGTTTATACCCATATATAGTGTTCCATAAACAATAAAAGATAATATTTTGGTAGTAAAGAGAGACACTTCCTTTAGTTCCTTAACATATACTACTTAGAAAACCAAAATATTCCAACCGTTAAAAATAGGAAAAAAGGAAGCCAACCAAAACATTTCATGGCATAAATGTCTCTCTTTTTAAAGGCTAATGTTCGGAAGAATCGACTGTGGAATGGATGGAATCTCAAAAACTCTTCTTCGAAGACAAGCTTTATACCATAAGAATGCAACAGCTGCTTGTCTTTTGTAGTGATGATAACAACACTCCCTGGACCAAAGCCGCTAAAGTCTGCTTCAAGAGCATCTAACTGTTCAAGCTTATCGACGTCGTCTGCCACGAGAAGAACCGTTTGGTTCTTGAGAGTTTCATAGCTCGTCAAGTATTTTCCTTCAATATTTTTCAGAAACTCTTCGTGTAAATGGCTTTCACAGTCGCGACCCTGAGAAATATTTTTCATGTTTCCCATGAAACAATAGCTTTCAAAGTGTTGACAGGTTGTCTGATAAACATATCTAGCTAGAGCTGATCTAGCACTGCATTCTCTAGCCCAAATCCCAACAATTCTCAATCCTTCTTTGGAATTCAGATCCATTAGTCGGTTAAGATCCTTCATGTGTTTATCAATCCCCACTATGTTCCTCCCGTTGCTTATTGTTGTACTTGTAATAATAACCAACTTATTTGATATATCGTCCGCAATTGCGTTGACCAACTTCAAGTCATCTTCACTATATAGACAAAAAAAAAATAGAAACTTTAGCATCGATTCAAACCAGACTTAACAAAAATTCAATCTTTCGAGCCAAATTAAATGTAACAGTACAAATTCAATCTTTTGATATTCAATCATATCTAACCATAAAAATTTAATCTTTATCACTAAGTTACGAAATTTTTTTTTCTAAATAATTAAGAGGTTCCCGATGAAAGCTCGTACATCCCCTCAAACCCAAAACTAGACCATGTTATATAGTTTAGTCCCAAACGCCACTCAAAACCAATGATTTCTAGGCTTTTGCGAGAGATCGTACATGATAGTTCTAGAGGTAATAAGATGATAAATCTTTTGAAGTTACGAAAGTTTACCATTTCCATGAACAAGGGCTGGAGATATACGACAAATCTCTCAATGCTCGCCTCCATGAAAGCACTTTCTCATCATCTTCTCTAGCCTCGTGCTTCTTGAAATGTTCAGCGACTTTCTTGATCTGAAACCTCACATCAAACGGATCCACGCCATAGAAGATAGGGATCACGGTCATCAAACCCTGGTTCTCGAAATCCATGATCTTCCTGAGCTCTTTCAGGCACCAAGAAGACGCAGCGTAGTTCTCAGAGACCACAACGACTGTGAATCTTGACTCCCCGATGGCGCGATCGAGCTCCGGGGAAATCCTCTGATCAATCTCCAGCTCTTTGTCGCCTTTGAAAGTTCGTATGTTCCTTCGAACCAGTTCATGGTAGAGAAAGCTGCTGAAGGTGCGGCTAGTGTCGTGCCCACTAAAACTTAGAAAGACATCGTACTTAAATGCAGTAAGAGAAGTCATTTTGATATTTGATTATCTATGACTATGTGAATGTGTATAGAATATGAATGATATATATAATGAAGTTGAGTGTAGTTTATATAAGCCACGTAGAGGAGACTTTGAGCAAAGACTTAGAGTATAGACCCTTCAGTCAAGTGTATCGTGACATTTTTTTTTTGTCAGCTTCTGTTTCACTGAACTACTCAGAAAGAGGGGTTTTGTAATAAGAAGGAAACGACCTGGCCTGCCAAAAAAAAAATATTATTAACAAACGACAATTATCAATTTATCATCATATCCTCTTTGTTGAATTTTCCACACCATAAAAAAGAGTACAAGAAAAAACACAATCCTCTTACTTTTCCACGATTTATAAAATTTTAGTTGGTTTGATTAGTAGACTAGTTTGTATTAGTTCAAAAATTTAAACATTGGTTTAGTTAGCGATTGGACCAATGAGAAAATGGCTTATACTTCATAGATATGATTAGAAATTTTTATGGGTTCATTCCTAGTATAACCCTTTTATTCTTTTTTTTTTTTTTTTTTTTTGGACCAACTAAAATTGCATTAGAACTTAACCAAGAGGATTCGGAGGATACAAGAGGCTACTCGGAGCCAAACAAACAACTTCTCTGAGCCACAACATGGCCAAGTAGAAGGGGAAGTTAAAACAACAACCATAGAACAAACAAAAACATATGGATAAGTGGGGGGTGTAACCCTTTTATTCATCTTTTAATTTCTAACCACTCAAAATATTAACCTTACTTTTTGTTTTAGATTCTTCTATGTATATAGATTTAACTCACTCTTATTTAAATTCATAGTTTTGACAACGATTTTACGTTTAAGATTTTTTTTTCGGTAGTTGACAAGGAGACATTAACTATGTCTCCTTGTTATTTATTCAAACTAAAACAAAAGAAAATTACAACCGAATCTGCCGTGGGAACGAAGTTCCACGGACATCATCTCTTATTATGGACTCCACAACAGTTGGAGCTTCCTCAAAAATATGCAATCCTAAAGGTTTTTTAAAAACAAAGTTTGCTAAACCATCCGCAAGGCGGTTAGCTTCTTGATAAGTATGCGTAACACGGACTATCCAGTCCTTAGAAATAACGCCATGACGCAAACGCATCAGGGGAGACAAAGGATGAGAATCACTAATCCCCGTCTTAAGAAACCCAACAACAATCTCCGAGTCCATATTAAGCTGAATTCATGTTACTCTCTTCCCCAAAGCAACATAGAGACCATAATAAACCCCCCCCCCAAAGTTCGGCAAGAGGCGCCGATCATATCCCGATTTGCTGCGAAACCACCACACTTTGACCCGTCGAATCTCTCAGAGCACCACCAGCCGTAGCTACCCCAGGGTTACCATGAGAGGCCCCGTCAGTGTTTAGTTTAAACCAGCCCTCTGCCCTCCGGTGGCAGCTTCCACTGCACCATGCGAGTAACTCTCTCCCCCACCATACAGACACTCTCCATGGTCTTGTGTGCTTGGCTCACTTCCAAGGCGATGTCTTTAATGAACTTTACTTTATATATCGGCATTTGCTTATGTCCCCAAACACATAGCTACAACGCCACTTCCATTCCCACCACGAACACATTGCAAACAATATAGCCCAAGAGCATTCCGTCCCATCATCCGACGAACGTCGATTGTTATAAACCTATTCGGTTAACGAACCATCAAAGAAAACCCGTAGCCTATTTGGCGGTACTATCATTTTACGTTTAAGATGATTTAATTGTTTTAATTTTTAATTTTTATTTAATGATAATATGATATAGTGTAATTTCATTCGCTAAAGAAAACAAAAATGATGGAAAAGTCGAGAACCAACGTTGTGCACGAATCGGTCTCGTCGGTTCTCTCTCTTCTCTCTCTTGAATTTTTCAGAGAGAGACCGACTCACTTTTGTTGCCGTCCGGATCTTTTCCGGTTACCAATCCCGTTTAGCGGGCTCTCTCCCAACATGCACCAGTTCTTCTGCGGTGTTTGGTTGGCTTTTATCCGATATCGATTTGACTTTCATAGTCAGTATGATCGGCGTGGCCGTCGGCAATTCTTGCCGATTTTCTCTTGTTGTTTATGAAAAAATAAAGTTTATGTTGTGGTGGTCAGTGATGTGCCCAAGCCACTGGCTCTTGAAATCAATTTTGATCCCTAGTTTCAGATTTAGCTTCTCTTCCCTAGGCCTTCAACCGATTGATCCCAGTATCTCATCGTTGAGATGGGTGATGATGCGGTTAGGCGGCTCATTCAGCTTCCTCCAACAAGAATTCACAATCAGATTTGGGTCTACTTCTGCTTATTCGGTACTCCGTCGAATGAATCTCGACTTTTCCGGTGTCAACATGTGTTTGATGGTTCCAAAGCTTCATCTTCGAAGCCCCATCAAGCTGGGTTTGTAAGTAGATGTTTTAATTTTTAAAGTCTATCAATTAGCAAAGTAGGACGAGTAGTTCAGAGTTTTCCGGTGCAATTTTCATCATCATCAACAAAATTCAGTTCTCGGAAAAGAAGCAATTGTGTTTCCAGATGCTATTCAAAGGAATTAACTAGGGATTAATTTTTAGGTTTCAGTTGTTTGATTGTGGTTTTGTGCCTTCAATTGGCTTTTGTTGTAATTTTAGTTTGTGTTTTTAGATCCGGAGAATTTTCGTTTCTGCCGGTTAATATCCAGAGGTTTACATGTATCCTCTGGCCTTGTATCATATTTTTGTATCGTTTGAATAAACGTTCTTGTGAGAAAAAAAAAAAAAAAAAAAAAAAAGAAAACAAAAAAAGTGAACAAAAGGGTTAGCTCCTATATTGCTCTTAACTTTTCAAGAAATCTTAAATAATAATAAAAATTTACGTGGTCGTTCGATATATGGAAGTAAACATTTGGAAGTATACAATCTTTCTAAATTAAGAATTTGAACTCAAGGTATTTAAAATCTAAACAGACTTGAAGATACAAAAATAGATTCGATGAGAAAGACTACAAAAGAGAGTAACTAAGGTTAGAATCAATGTTTGGATCTCTTGGGAGTCTGTGCATCGACGGCATCCAAAGAAGCAACATCCCCACCCTCTTTCTCCATCTTCTTTCTCGTAAGTATCTTATTGATCTTGTGAAGTTCGTTATTGAGTTTCTGGTCACGGTCACGGTTCTGCTTCCTCGTCTTTCGACCATCTTGCATCTTTACCCCAAATTGGAATGCCGCTTTTGGCATGGCTTCCTTCTGCTCGTTATATTTTTCCCATTCCTCTTCCGTCTCAAAGTCCCATCGATGTAAACCTCCCTTTGCCTGTTTAGTGTTCATCAACACCCAGAAATTGTAATGTTGTAGTTTTGGCCTTTCTACAATTAAAAGAAGAGAAAAAAAGAAAGATGTAATTTAGCCAGTGCATACCTTTCCACCCATGTCCATTTTAGACAAGTCAGCTTCTTCATCGCTACCGACAATCTCATGGTTGTACTCTTGGTAACCCGGGTAACACTCTGAATAGCTCTCTGATACAAAAGTTGGATCTTTCTCCCGTGCGTCACTTTCTCTCAACTGTTGAAGCCTTTGGTCGTCACGCTTGAACACTGATCCTAAACCCCTATCTTTCTCTTCCTGAGACATGAGTTGGGGATCTAGTAAAATATCTGTTTCTGGTTGGACATCGTAACCCTCCATTCCAGGCTGAAGGTACTGCTCTTGATACCCAATTTGCTCTGCATATTGGTAATCCTGCCAATCTCCAGGATACCCGGTAGCCACTCCTTGAATTGGCATTGCACCATATCCACTCTGCAAAAAATACAAAAGAAAGAAACCTGACTATGAGAATAATGGACAGATAATAAGTACAAACTAAAATGCAAAAGTTGCTTCGGGAATCAAGGTTTGTGAATACATGCAACCAAGGATTAGTTAGGGGAAAACTGACCATATCTTGCCATTCTTGACCAGCAGATGGCTGCACCGGACCATAAGCAGGCTCATCGAAGTAAGGTACTTTCTCCTTATCCCTGGGAGATTCTTCCATGTCCTCAGAAATAGGACTCTGTGTCACATCTTTACCAGGAACTGTATAGTCGACGCCTTCACCAACAAATATGTCATCATCTTCTGTTCTGGCAACAGGTGGTTCTTCTTGTTTCTTACTCAAAACCAGATGGTTGGTCACAGGCGGTAATGGCGGAGGAGGTGGTAGTTCTTCTCTTTCACTTATGTTCACAGAAGATCCATTCTCAATCTTAGATTGATTATTGTCTTCATCGTAATTAGCAATAGTTGAGATCTTTCCTGCATTAGAAAAATTGCAGTCAACGTGAGATAGAACAGAAATAGCAAATTATATTGCTAAAGAATCAGAAACCAGCCAATTTCTTAGCTTAACTCAAAATGTATGCTGATGTGAAAAAAGAACGACAACATGTACTGGCACCACATAGGCATAATAATAACAGGATACAAAACCATGCCTACATCCAGAGACCGCGCAAATTAAAACCACAAAGTGAACACAAGAAGACATAATAAGATACTACTAGTACGGTTGTTGAAGACTAGACATACTCTTTATATTCTTGGCTTCAAATAGTAAACGCAGACAATTTGGGGATAGGCAGAAAAACAACAATTTCAGGAAGCTTATCTAACCAGTGTATGTGAATCAGTACTGCTAATACTTAAAGTCATTGTCACAATGCAAGTGCAGTTAGAAAGTACACCAAAAGTATGCTCTTACATTATGAAAACTACCTTTACTGTCTTTTTCTTTCTTCTTCTTCTTCAGAACTTTCCCTGATGATCCAAGGCGAAGGTATGACATGATTTTAGCAATTCGATCTAGTACAGAACCATCAACATTTACTGTGACCAGTTCCTGTGAAAGAGATAAGGCAGGACAATCGTGCGTGTTAATGAAACAATTCTCGCAAAAACTGGAGTAGTGATGTCAAGTATAACTTAAAAATATGTTCAGTACAGAAACATGTTTAGCAATGCCAATTTTGGTTCCAGATTAGTAGAAACGAAAGATAAATTTAAT